GTTTCCTCTCCGTTTGCCACCCTGGGAAGGACGCAAGCCCCAGAAGGACAGGGCATTTTGCCCATTTTGTGTGCGTTGTATCCTATGCCCGTAGAAGAGTGCCTGGGATATAGTAGATACTGAATGAATGAATGGATGGATGAAGGGAGGGATGGATGGATGAATGAACGCTATCTGTTGAGCATTTACTCTGAGCCAGGTCCCTTCCTACCTGCTTTGCACTTTACACATATCTCATTTAGTACCCTCAACGGTTCTGGGAGGTAGCGATTACTATCATCCCTGGTTTAAAGATGGGGAAGTTGAGATTGGAGATGATGTCACACGGACAAGATCTACGGGAGCTGGGCAAGGGCCTGGATAGAGGCCAAGACCAGCTGCGGCTTGTCTGGGGCCAGCTCTCCATCACCACCCCCCTCCCCGGGGGGAGCTGCCCATGAGACCTTCCAGGGAAGCCACACCCGGCTCATCCAACCCTTCTGGTTGATGTTTTTCTTTATCACTCTTCCTACTGACTTCCCCCATCACCCCGTCGCCCCCGCAAAAGATATTTCTTCTGCCCTGAAACGCAGCACCCCAGCTTCCAGAATTTTCGTGGCAGAACCACAGAGACCTCCTGAGGGCAGTGAAGGGGACTAGGGAGCCCGGACCCTGCAGAGCTGGGGCAGGGCTGTTCCCGTAGCCCACTCCCTAACACTTCCCTTCCTGCTCTCCCCGAGACTGTGTGGGAGGCTCCCAGCCCCAAGCTGAGGGGAGGCAGAACCCCCGCCCCAGATCGCTTTTCTATGGGTTTCCTACTGCTGGGAACTGAGCTAGAACGCAGGGAGGCCCCTGCCTACCCCAGGGGCACCTGCGCTCCCAGACACTGTCTCTTCACCAGGGCGGCTCTCCCGGGCCCAGGCAGGGGGATCCAGGCCCTCACCCCCTGCTTCACCCCCCAGTCCCCTTCTCTGCCCCCAAGCCTCTGTGGTTCTCCCACCAGGAAGAGTCTGGAAGCTGAGGAGATGCTGTGCTTCAAGGCAGAGATATCTTTTGGGGAGGGGGGCAGGGTGATGGGGGAAGTCGGTAGAAGAGTGATTAAAAAAAACATCAACCAGAAGGGATGGGGGAAGCAGGATGGGCTTCCCTGGAAGGCCCTGTGGGCAACGCCTCCCCGGGGGAGTGATGGAGAACTGACCACAGGAGGCCACAGCTGGTGCTGGCCTCTGCCCAGCCCCTTGCTCCCAAGTGACCCCTGGAGAAAAGAATGGAGACCCAGGAATATCAGGAGCGGCAGGAAGCCTGAAGAGACCTGAGGACACAAACCTCCATGCTCAGGAAGACACAGCGTCTGTGTCACCATCTAAGGGCTCAGGGAGGCAGCGGGAGAGGAAAGGAAGGAGGCTGGGATGTCTGAGCAACATCTGGAAGTGGGTCATCAGGGGAGGCAGAAGCTGGATCGGGAGCTGTCAGGGAGCATCTGGGTTCAGATGTTGGAGAAGCAGGAGCACGCCTCACATATGGGTTTCTGCATGTGGCTGGAGCCAAGCATCCTCGATGGTATTTGCAGGAGAGAGGGGGTTGTAAACACATGGGGGGGAGGCATGCTGGTAGGGTGTTCCCAGGCAGGGAGCCATGCCAGCTTGCACCTCATCAAAGAATCAAGACTGGAATTTCCCTGAAGCTCATTTCCTATCATTTAATCCTCAGTAGAGGACCACGATTGCCAAGTCTGCCCCCCAAGGGCAAGTGCGGGGTGGGGGGGGCAAGGAGCAAAGCCCTCCAGGAGTGCCTCTGAGCTCCACCCAGAAGCCCCTCTCTTATCACGAAAGGTTATATGCCTTCCCTCTGGGGTCCTTCCTCCTTTCCTCCAAGAATGGGATTCAGGATGAGGAGAGCCACATTTTACCCCAGCTCCGGCAGTCACTAATGGGTGACCCCCTCATAGGTTTCTTTCTTTCTTTCTTTCTTTTTTTTAAGATTCCATTCATTCATTTGAGAGAGAGAGAGAGAAAACACAAGCCGGGGGAGGGGCAGAAGGAGAGTGAGGAGCAGATTCCCCGTTAAGCAGGGAGCCCAACATGGAGCTCGATCCCAGGATCCCGAGATCATGACCTGAGCTCACCCTTTACCAATTGAGCTAGCCAGGCGTCGCCACCCCCACCCCAGCATAGGTTTCTTAACCTCTCTGGACCCTGTTTCCTTATCTGTATAATGGGTGCAGTGAGATATCGTGGGGCCCCCACAAGAAGAAATGAGATACAGAATGTAAACGCACCTAGCCAGTGCCTGGCACATAGGAGATGTCCAGTCAAAGCTCAGCGTTCCTTCCTCCCCTCACCCTTTGGGACCATTTGCCTTCTCCCCACACCTTCTGGGGACAAAGGTCCTGGGCTGAGCTGTTTTCCTCCCACCCCCCAGGCACCAATCAATCAGTCCACGTACCGAAGGCATTTCCTGGGCCCTACCTCTAAGGGACCAATGCAAACAGCAAGTGCAAAAATGTCAAGGGAAGACATGGCCAGCTGGGGAAAGCGGTGGATCACCAAATGAAGTGACTTTATTGTGGACGCCCATCACAGCCCCCCCTGGTTCCCTACTAATGCGTGCACACCATGGACAAACCCAGCTTGGGGCCAAAAAACAGCAACTGGGTGCACAAAGACTGGTACCAGGAACCAAATGCTGACTTATTAATTTACTGACAGAGCCATGGTCCCCAGGCACCTGGACACATCTCTCCTGGCGGCTTCAGAATCAAATGACAGAGTATGGGATCAGAACAAGGCCAAGGCATTGGATGATTTCAACAGCTGGATGATAGGCTGAGACATCCATGCCAACTCAGGACAACCCAGCCCCATGGCCTGACCCGGGAGGTTTCTGGGACAGAGCACCAACTGTCCTGCACAGCCTAGAGACCCAGCCCCAAGCTGGGTCTCCCTGGAAGCTCCATTCAGAATGAGGGAGAAGTCTTCCCTCTGTTGGCATTCCCCCCACCCCACCCGGGCAGAAGACAATGCAGTTAGGTCCCTAAAATGCATTTGCAATCTTATCTGTCCTTCTGAGATTTCACCCAGGTCTCCTTAATTGGATTTGGGATATTTACAGACAGACAGTCTCCTAGGTAATTTCTACAGAGGGCTAATAACCTCTCCTAAACCGTGTTTCTTCCTAATTGAATTCTCAGAAGGCAATGTTAACTTCAAGGTACTTGGCTGTCAGGCCCAAGTCCTGCCCACGTGGGGCAGTATTAAGGCACAGAGGAGGAAAGCGTAGATCCAAATAGTTCCTACCTCTAAATGGCGCAAAACCCAGTAGGGAAAACAAAATCAACACGTGTGGTACAGTCGAAGAACGATCCAGTGCTGAGCGGTGTGTCTGACTGTGTGGGTCTGATGGTAAGAGCGTTCAAGTTCATAGGAGAGACAGCTTCGGGTGGCCTGGAGGAGGCTGGAAAGCCTTTGGGGGAAAGGTGGGATCCAAGCTTCCTTGGGAGGCTCTGTGAAGGGCTGATTTACATAAGAACAGCAGGGGAGATGGGTGGGAAATGTGAAATCAGATGGTGTAGATGGAGGGGACA